GATATATTTGTAGCCAGTGGGAATCTAAATGGGCTCTTCCCCTTTCTTAAACTTATTATGATGCAAGGAAAGATGGAGGATGGTCTCATATCAATCCTTATCCTCAACATTTTATGGCAACAATGGAATAAGACTATTCACTGCAGCGCAAGTATTTGTCTAGCTAGTGAAAGCAATACCAAAAGTTAATCAAATTCATTTCCTTCTAGAGCATATTTGTCACAAAAAATGATGAAGGTATCTGTTTACCCCGCGAAATCCCGCAAGCAGCACAGATGTCCAACTACTATGAGTAGATCTTTTATCCCCTAGGATGCAGAAAGAAGAAAGACCAATCTTCTTACACGATTAATATAGCAATTTATTTGAAAGAAAAAGAGCTGTAGAGTTGAACCTTGCCAGTCAAGAAAACATAGTGACAGAGAAATGCAAAAGTAGAATCGTGCTAGTTTAAAGACAGAACTCTGAAACACAATAAAATAAAAAAAAAAGATGAAATTTATGATAAAAATAAAAAAAAATGAAATAAACAACAGGATAATGATCAAGAATAAGATCCTTTAGAGCACCTGTCTTTAGGAATTCAACCTTTGAAAGTACCACAAAAGTTGATCATGTTCTTGATCACGTCTGTTTCTCTACAAAGCATTAAAGCTCATGAGAATTATAAATTCTAAAATGAATAATTTCATTCAACTTCTCTTCCATTTACAAGAAGAAGCATACCTAATATATATATATATATAAGATCATAAAGAAGATTATTTCTTAAAATTAAAACCCTAATTTCCTAATACTAAAAGAAGAAAGAAAATAACATAAAATAAAAAGAAAAAATATTCAACCACATAATTTAGGAGATGTAATCCTAAAATTATGGGATCACAAAACTTAAAAATTAAAAATAATTAATCCTAATCTTTGACTAGATTTAAAATAGGTAACTATGACTACTCTTACCCCTTAAAAAAATGAGTCAAGTCAAAGGCCCACTAAAATAAGAAATGATTAAAGAAAAATTAAGAGATCACAAAGGACCTAATCACACTATCCTTGACTTCTTCAATAGGGTTTCATGCCTCCTTACTTGCAAGAGGCTCCACTTGTAATATTCCTTGCATTAGGTTAGGGTTTGCACCTCTTAGGCTTGACTCTTCATAGATTTGGATCATAAGTACATTATACACATTTAGATGCTTTTCTTTAAGCTCGAGAGGAGTGCCCAAATACTTTTCGAGCTCTTAAACTTCTTGCAAATGACTAAATAAGGCTTGCTTTATAGCTTTAATTTAGGCTTTTGTCATTGAACCTTCAATATGTTGTAAAAGATCTTTGGGCACGTTGAATTAAAAGTGTTGGGCTCCTTACTCATTGCCTTAGGCTTCTTTCATATCACCATGCTCATGATTACTATCCTCAAATTTCGTTGCCATTAATACCATGTCATCCGTGCCATGGGGTCTATCACATAGAGCCATCCTTTCTTTGCCAATGAATGAATGTCTTGGCTTTGTTTTTAACTAGATTTGTAGCTTCTCAACCAATGAAGGAATCCCACTCCACTCAATCTCTATTAGTTGCTTCCGGATAATGTTTTTCTAGCTACAAGCTAAGTTACAGCTACCATAATCATTCTATAATCACCATAGATCTTGACATTTAGCTTGATAAGTTGTCCTCGATCAACTTCAGAGTTTTTTCTCACCAGGTTACATATGGGGTTTTGTCAAGTGTATCTTTCTTTATAGTCTTTTTTGCAATACTCATTTGATTCTATTTATAAATTACTTTCAATATCTTTTAATAGTATCAAAAAAAATCTTAAAACTCATTAATTCTATCTTAAAATTTAATAAATTCTCAACTTTACTCCTATTAAATAAATATACTTCAATAATATATTTTTTTCTCCAACATTCAATGGAAAGTAAAAGAAAAAATTTGTGATGAAAATTTAATGACGTGACTTATAAATAAAATAAAAAAATTATTCACTTTTTGTCCTATAAATAGAATTAGAGGGAGTATAATTTATCTTTTTTAACCTTTTATTTTGCTGCATTCATTACAGTATTGTATGAACTTTGGATTAATCCTTTAATATAAAAATAAGTTAATGCAAAATAAATATACGGTGACTTCTTGCCAACTTCTTACCAATTATTCCTTTGATCCTATTTACAAATAACTTTTAATTTTAATATGTTTCATTAGAATAACAAAAATTTTAAAACTCATTAAATATATCTTAAAATTTAACAAACTCTCAAATTTATCCTATTAAATATATATATTTTAATAATATATATTTTTTAACATTCGACAGGGAATAGAAAGAAAAATTTGTTATTTAATAAGGCAACTTACAAATAATATTAAAATTTTTTTTTATTTTATAAATAGGATAAGGGGAGAAAATAAGTAGTAACTTTGTTTTCGTATGGGAATTATTTCTTTTGTGGGATTTATTCCAATGGGAATTGATTAATGAGCAATTACTTCGGTCTCGTGCTTTGATTCGTTATCATTTTGACATTTTTGTCGTTTTCATATTTTTTTTTATTTGACTAAAAAGTCTTAGCTTTACCTCACAAAAAAGGTGCCGGGTTTCAGAAGGCAGAATAAGAAGAAGTACAACTAATTAATGTGATATAAATAGATAGCGACCTCGAATTTAATATTTAAGGTGGCCGTGCCACACTGCCACTAAACATTGACTTCATTACTCTGAATTTCAAAATCAGAAAGTACTGGTAATGCTGAAAGTTGTTGCAGTAAACAAGGGTACATTAGAAATAATCTTAATAAATGGTTAAATACTGCTATGAACTTTAGAAAAATATATAAAATGTAACCTTTTTTGTTTTCTTTCTTTCTAAAATGACTTTTATTTTAAGCGTAGGAACGAGGAAGTATAAAATAATTTATCTCATCAAAGATACCAAAAATAAAATAAAGTGCAAAACATATAATGATTTTTCTGTGAACGCGTATATAATCAATTTACACTGGTCTAACCGCTATCAAGGTTACCTAATCAATTTTTTATGATGAATTAACGAATAATGAATTCGACTGTTACTGTTTTAATCATTTTTGTTTGCTGAACAAGCATTCTAATCTCATTTTTATCATATCATATTATATATAAAAGGTTAAGTAGTTCTTTGCTTTTTTATTATTCCGGTCAACAAAATAGAAAACACTAACTTTTTTAACGTGAGATGATAAAAATAATCTTGCCAACATTGAACACCAGTCACATCCTATTTTTAATGGGCGATTGACTTCTACAAATACCAATATTTTAAAACTTCTTTAAATTAAATATCCTAAAAAAAAACTTAAAGTAAATGTTGGGGCTAATGAAATGTCTTACTTTTCCTACAGGCGACACACCTTCAACTTTTGATCTTTTTAATAGTATGAATTTGCAATTTAAAATTATTTTGTTATCCAAAAAATTATTTTTATTTTATTATCAAAGTTAAAAAAATAAATATGAAAATAGACTGTTTGGACTTTAGATCAAATCAAAATCTGAACAATCTAAATATTTTTTATTTATAACAAATAGAAAGAAATGTCCTTGAAGAAAGTAACCGTTACTCTGTTGCTTTTTTTTTTTTTTCAAAGAATAGGATTCACATCGCTTAATTTCTTTTGAGCTGTCTACATTTTATTTATATTTTAAAATTAATTATTCTATTATTTTAATTTCTTTATGTTGAAAATATTAAAATAAAATATAAAATTCAAAAATTGAAATATTATTTGAAAAAAATTAACTCACATTTCTTTAATGTTAGACTTAAATCAATTTTAAAGTTCGAATTAGTAATCGACATTTGGCACCAATGTTTTGGAGTTACGTGTGACCAAATAATGCCAAGGGAGATAGAAACATATCGAGTGGGGCGGAATCAAAAAACTTTGGTCGAGACGACAAAACATACATATTAATTAAAAGAAAGTTAAAATTATATATATTATTAATATAATATAAATATTTTAATATATATATTTATATTTAATTTTATAAATATATAAAAAAATAAATATATATCTTCATTTTTTAAATTTTGCTCATTAAATTTTCATGGCATAATAATAATTAATTATCATGTTTATAATAAATTTTTAGCTATTTCTGTTTTAACATAAACTATCATTAAATTGATGAAATTGTTATCTTTTTTATGAGTATTGAATAATTTAAATATATAATTGGGATCTAAAGTTCTATTTAATATAAGAAGCTATATTATTTGCTTATTAAATTTACTCTTTAATTTCTTAATTAATCATTATAGTAAACAAATTTATCAACACAGTTATGATGCTCAATTATCACAAACTCTTTATATTAATAAGATCTAATTAATTTAAGATAAAAATATTTATATAATAAATTTAAACAACTTAGTTATTACATAAAAATTAATATTTTTTTAGAAGAACATATTAACCATAACCTTTTAACTTTTAAATAAGTAATTTTATAATAGATATCAAGAACATAACATTCAATATATTTTAAAATTTTTGTTAAAATGTTTGACAAAGTTTGTTAGTAAGAATTCTCATAATTCTTTTATCAAATATAAAATGAAAGTAAAATTAAATAGCATTTAAGTGTAAGTGTTTTAAAATTAAAGAAGTAAATCTCATGATAATTATATCTTTAAACAATTAAAATAGTTATACTATATATAATATATGAGTAAAAAACTATATATAAAATTAAAATAAAAATTTTATCTAATATTTTAAGAATTTTTTAATATGTCAATTTAAAAAATTAGAAATATATAATATCTATATTTTGCTAAAAGAAATTACAAAGTTAAGGGAGCCATGGCCTGCTCCTGCGCAGGGGTATGTCCAAAAAACCTGATCAGGAAAAATAAAAAGCCTTGAATCGCGTGAAATTAGATATAAATGATATTTTATTTAAAAAAATTCATTATCTAATTCTTTTGGATCTATGATTTATTTATTATCAAGGCGAAAGGCTTGCTTTTATAAGGAGCTTCGATTCGAAAGGAAATGGTATGTTCGAGGATCGAGGCTGATCCTGCTAGAGAGCTTTTTCGTGTGGGGTCGTGGCTTGTTGATGGACGGGAGTTTGGATTCGGATCCTAAGTCGCCATTACTGCACAAGGATGAGCAGCAGGGTCCCAAGGCTAAAGGCGGAGGAGGGCGGCTCCCTCGCCGGAACTCCGTCAACTCTTTGAGGAGTGAATTTGTGTCGAAATTGCCTGAAAAGGTCCGTTCTGGCATCGACTCTGAGTCCTCCAATGTTGATTTTTCCAGAACTGAAGGCTTAGGCAAAGGTTTGGTTCTTTTTATCCTTTATGCCTGGCTTTGACTATTTGATGGCACAGAAAGTGAGGCATTTCAAGGAGTGCATGACAAAACTTCTCTTTGCACAGGAAAAATGTTACGTACTGCCCAAGTTTGCGGTTCTTTTCATTTCTGCTTCCTAATTTTGATGTTTGGTTGACAGAATATGTTTGTGTGTTTTGCCTTCGTTGATTTCATTTGGTTGTCAGTTGTTATCACTTTTCATAAGTATTAATTTAGATCTTCATGCGGAGCTGGAAGACAGAGTTGGATTGCCTTTTAGTCCTGCGTTTCTTATTGCATTTAGCGAAGATAATTGACTTTAACATGGAAGCGATGATGTCAAGAAGACAAAAAAGAAGCAATCATTAGTAGTGCAGTTACTAAAGCTGTCACTGAATTTTTTTAGCCGACAGAACTTTCACATATTTTCCGCGGTATTGTTGCGTTTTCAACTATTTCGTTTGATTTGGGGGAAAAATTGAGCTCGGTGGCCCCCATACGAATCCCAATACATAGTATATTGTATACAACACTTTATGCTGCCAAACGCTAGATTCCATGAAAGCTATCTGCTAACTTTTTCTGTTCAGTTATCAATAACTATTTATTTCCTTCAACAATTTGCCATGACAAAACTAGATTACTATTCCTTTCTTTTTAGTGGAAGGTTTAATGCAATTTTATTTTATTTATGCTGCGGAACAACTTACTCTGTTGCAGAATCATGCGTTGTACTTTGAAGTACAAATTTTCCTTGTTTTTCTTTGAAGCGACAAGTTCCCTTTTTTATTTTTCATAGAAGAGAAGGAATACTATGAAAGACAGTTTGCTACTCTGAAGTCATTTGAGGAAGTTGACACCATAGTGATATCTGATGGCATAGACGAGGTAGACAGTGAGGAACAGGCTCAACATGAAAAAGCAATGAAGATCTCGAACTTCGCAAACATAGTTTTATTGGCACTAAAGGTGATACTTCAATATATTTTTCAATACTTCCATTTATGATCAAAATTTCAAGGATCAGTTCTCACTAGAAGGCCCGTTTTTAGTATCTTAGAAATAGTCATCGAGTTCAGTTTTCATTATTATGATTTACTAGTCATGTCTTAATAGGTTTTTTCTACATAATAATTTTATATCGGGAAGCAGAGCCTGACTTTCAACCTCTTAAACTTGTTTCAGCACAATCTCCTTTCGTATTTGTTGATGCTTTGTAGTACTTGATACTCCAGCCGTTTCTGACAATGCATATCCATGTATAGATTTATGCGACAGTTAAGAGTGGGTCAATAGCTATTGCAGCATCAACTTTAGATTCTTTGCTTGATCTTCTGGCTGGTGGAATACTCTGGTTCACTCACCTCTCGATGAAGAACATAAATATCTACAAATACCCGATAGGAAAGTTGAGAGTGCAGCCAGTGGGCATAATTATCTTTGCAGCTGTCATGGCCACACTTGGTGTGTAAGACTAATTTTAAACAATTTCTTCTGTTGTTTTTATTTTGCCAGCAACTTTAACCAATTTCTTGCTTTCAGATTGTTTATTTGTTGTTTATCACTCAAAATCCATTAATTTAAAGTTCCTTTAAAAGGTGCAAGCAACAGAAGCAATTTCATTTTGACAATGTTTATAACTTCTTATCATATATTCTTTCGTCTTTTACACTTCTTGTTGGCAGATAGCTGATACAGTTGGCAATGGTAGAGTTCATTCTTATACAAAACCTGTTCATGCTGTTAATAAAGTTCTACTCTGAATATGTAACTGTTTGTTATATTTAATGCAAACCCATAATTAGGATCATTATATGCCTCAAATTTATAAACTATTTTTGTTTCCTACATATTATGACTAGATTTAAATTAAATGCTACATGTGGTAGTGAAAAAAAGCTCTTGTCCTTTTGAACCAAATAACTAATGAAACTTGAAGTGAACGAGCTCTTGAATTTGCATATACAAAGACGACATTCAGCTTCTGGCTAAAAATGATAATTTGGCTTAGAATCAGTTTCTCATGGTATAATTTATTTTTTTTCTTTTGTTATTTTTTTATAAGAAAACGATCATATATTCTAGATCTCTCCTCTTTAATGGATGGCATGTTTAAAAGGCATGGAATCATTTCAGAAGAGGAAATAGAAACATTACATCGTTTCATCATTTTGCTACAGGCTTTCAGGTGTTTGTGCAAGCTGCAGATCAATTAATAGAAAATAAGCCTTCTGAAAAGATGTCTTCTGATCAGCTAGCCTGGTTATACTCTATCATGATATTTGCAACAGTGGTGAAATTAGCACTGTGGCTTTACTGTAGAAGCTCAGGAAACAAGATTGTTCGTGCCTATGCAAAGGTGCGGGCCCTTCTCTTCTTAATCAGCTGCTTTATCAATGGAATCATGATTTTGTTGCATCAGCTCACAAATGCCAATATGCAGGATCACTATTTTGATGTTGTGACAAATGTAGTTGGATTGGTAGCAGCTGTTTTTGGCGATGAATATTACTGGTGGCTTGACCCAGCTGGTGCTATCTTGCTTGCAATTTATACAATTACAAACTGGTCTGGCACGGTCATGGAAAATGCAAGTAATAATCTTCTTTATCTTTGATTTCCAACAAGTAAAACTAAGACATAAGCATGGACTAGAAAAATAATTAAACAATAAAATGTCACTTGGTTGCTTGAGATATACTTATGTGGCGACTAAATTGGGATGGTTGGTTAGAGATTTCTTGGAAGCACAAGCTACACCATTCTTACCCAAGTACATTTGTTTTGACTTCTAACCTCTTCAAGTTTATCGGTTCAAATGTCAATCAAAAGTAAGGCATTATATAGATATATATATATATATATATATTGTGGTTAAAAAACGAAAATAGAAAGCAAAAGAGGAATCAATAAAATACGTATTGTGTTCACATTTGTGGTGCAAAATTGTTCAGGATTGTAATCAGTTTCAATATTGGAAAAAGTAGAATGGTGATATTAGCACCGGCTAAAAATGACTAGAGCGTCAGATCTTACAGAATGTGATATAACATATAACTAATGTCCCATGCAGTTTCACTAGTGGGACAATCTGCACCTCCTGAAGTTCTGCAGAAGCTAACATATCTTGTTTTAATGCACCCTGAAGTTAAGCGTGTTGACACTGTTCGCGCATACACATTTGGCGTTCTATATTTTGTAGAGGTACGTTGTATCCTACCAAATAAAATAGTAGGTGTATTTGGTGATGACATAGGTCTGTTTGCAGTGTGTTTTCGAAATTTTATTAAAAAGAAGCATGTTTGCAATGCTGTTTTCTAAGGCATTTTTTATTTTTGGCCAACAGAAGGGCAAGTTTAAAAGTAATTACCTCAACTGTTAGTTTTCAAAATATAAAAAATGGGAACGGCTCTTCAAAGGCAGTGTTTTAAGAATACTGTTTTAAAAACAGTATAATGAATTTTTAGTCTGCGTCTGTCTCATCAAATGGATTGAATTTAAAACAGGTTGACATTGAACTGCCAGAGGATCTCCCTTTAAAAGAAGCACACGCCATTGGAGAGACCCTACAAATAAAGATCGAGAAACTTCCAGAAGTTGAGCGGGCATTTGTTCATCTAGACTTCGAATGTGATCACAAACCGGAACACTCCGTTCGAAGCACATTGCCAAACAGTGAGCCTTAAGTGTATACAAATCCGTTCAGTGGTCAACAAATATACGTGTCTTGGAACCGTTGGACCTTCGGCAACGTACATTTTTCTGCAAGAATATCATAGCAGTATTCGGCTGTAATGTATCAGACAAGATTTTATAACTTTCATGCTTGCGAGGAAATTTTACAACTTCTCCCAAATCTTTAGAAGGGAACAGGTTATGTCACTTTCTGGTTTGAAATCTCGAAACTTTAATGGATGCTTGATCCAAAATGGTACATGCTCAAAATTTTCGAACGTCAGTATGTCATTAGAATCAATTTGGCAAGTTGCATAGTATGTTTGTAATGGAGGAATATTCCTGTTCACATGATGTTGCATCAAAGGCGTCTATTTTTCAATATTGTTAAATAGATCAATTCAAGCTCATTCCATATTTTTCAAAATTTCTATATGCTTTAAATCTACACCAATTAAACTGAAGACTTGTGCAATCAGATACGGCCTTAACTTTTTTCTTTTAGGAAGAGGGCCCAAAAATAGCTACTACAGCTGAAAAAGTTTGCTCAGTGTTTACAAGGCAAACATTACACTCTCAAATTCTGTGTGATCACTTTTGCTACAGAAACTGGAATGCTATTAAGTAAAACCAATTTTTATTGCTCCTCTGCAATACTTCTACCCCAAAAATACAAGACAAAACAATCTTCTGTTTGCTATGTCCACTGGCTCTCTTTACCAAAAAGCAGAATTATCATAAGAGATATGTTGCAGTACAAAATCTGTAAAACAATAATAATATCAAATACTACTTAAGCACACTATTGAAGACAACATGGTGTTAAAAGACATGGTAGTTTGGGAAGCCCCCCGGTAAAATAACAGCAAAAGAAGATAAATAATGCCCAATCACACTACTATAGTCTAAAGTGCCACAATAACAAAGAGGACGTACCTTAAGAATTTGGAAGTAGCCTTCCATTATACATTTTATCAAGTAGCTTCCTTGCCTCGGGCCTCCTTAGGAGACCTTTATTGTTTGGCAAGCCAGTTCCTAAACAAACAGGACAGACAAGCTTTCCTCGACCTATCCATGAGATGAAATAATGATCACTAGCTGAAGTGAACTAATTGCACATGATAACTAGGTGGAATGAGAACAAGTAACCAAAAAAAAGTGTGAAAATTGAAAAAGAACCACAAGAGGCATAAACGCTCATCATTTAAATAAGAATAATATTAAAAAACTCACGCACGCAGCATGCATTGTTAGGACACATGAACAGCAAAACTGAATGTTGAAAATCATGTGACAATGAGTAGGAGAAAATATATTTTAATAATAATTGAGGCGGGGTAGTCCCGTAGCCCAGGCTCTTGAAATTAGAGCCATGTATAGTTACTGCTAGCCTACTGTTTGGAAGGTGGAATGGAAACATAAATACACACGCATGAGCACGCACAAATTCACTTTCATCCCACATCATTCTTCTTAGCAAGTAAATGGTTCTTGTTCAAAGTAGCGCAATGGCTCAAAGAACATGAGCAATGATAGAAACAAATACTGTCAACTGAACTGGTAGGTAGGCTGTAAATTGAAGGTTTCACCAGGCTCCTTGGAATAATGTAATTGCAGGAATGAAACATAAGTCTCATTATGGAGTTTGATGAACTATGAAATTTAAATCTCATTTTGTACTCTCCTTTTAGAAAATTTATTTCATGCAATGTGTCACAGCTCACAACCCTGTTTCCCAAAACATATTGTGGAGGAAGCAAAGTAGAAAATATAAACTGAGGGAAAATTTGTGTGAAACAAGAAGTGTAAAGTGATGCATCAACAGGATCTCCATGTGACGGAGAAACAGAACTAGGAAATTACAGTTGGGTCTGCTTAGGTAACCATTTATAGAAGGAGAAGCCAAGGAGGGAATCAGATAAAATATCTTTCAACTAATCTGTATTACAACTTTAGACCAATCATTCCATGCTCAGCATTGTTTTAGACCAATCATTCCATGCTCAGCCATTGTCACAACATATCAACTTAACTAGATTTGCTATCAATGGACACTATATTAGAGGAGCCAAATACAAAACTGAAAGTTCATACCGTAACAATTTGGACATTCTGTAAACTCGTAAACATCTTTGGCTCGCTTCCTGTTTAGAGCTTTCCATTTTCCTGTACCACCACACATATCACCTAAATAAAAAGTAAATATCTTATCGACCAGAGAATGTAAATAGCAAGAGGTATTTATTCATTTCCTAAAACAGATAGAAGAAAGTCAATTACACCCACTGAGTCAAATTAATAAAATGCATGCATATGGTGCCATGACTAAGTTACAAAAAACAGTATCTATCTAATGGTAAAAAAAAACATTATACATGAATCTTGGTTGTCTTTATTGTAATGTAAGACTATATATTTACAAGTCAGTGACCTTTCAGGTTCTTCTCAAGAGTCTGAGACTCTGAGTTAATATGTAAATTCAAATCTTACTAAGCATGAGACATGCTGCTATGAATATCATGCTCCTCGTGCAAATCTTTTGATTATCCACATCGTGCAATGAAGAACGGAGATAAACAGTTTCATCTGTACTTACATATCACAGCACCACTTCCCCCACAATTCCTACAAGCAGGTCTTTCCTTGGCATCCAAAGCAATAGCATTTGTTGCAGAAGTAGGTCTTCCAAAACCACTTATCAAAGGCACAGTTGAACATAAACAAGAGAGACAATGTCGCCTGGAGACTGTTACTTGAATTTCCTGTAAGAGAGATCATTTTATATTAATACCAGTGGGGTTTTAATCCCTTTTCAGTCAATCATGGGATTGATTATGTGCTTCTTGAGCATGTTTGCCATAATTTACCACTTTATAATCCCAATGCAGTCAGAGAATACTCCTTCCAAAATCATTTGCACTTTTACACAATTATTAATCCATCCAAAACCAGTAAAAGAACACACATACATGGGACCAACAGTTTTCCCAAATGCCCCAAAAGGTAAGGGTACCAGACGGAGAGAAGTTACCCAGTCATTTCCACATTGTGTAACTTATGGCATTTTCATATGCATTCCAATTCTTCTTTCCATTTAGATTAGGGTACTAGAGAAAATGGATGAGTTCTAACAAGAAAGTGCCTTCCATACAATACAAAATTATTTGACTTACCGATCATACACTATGAACAATTTATTATCATTGTTATTATTTTAAAAAAGCAGTGATTAAGCCTTGCAACTCGGCCAAATAAAGGGCTGCAGGAACATGCCAATAATTTTCAAAAAATGGGAAGCACTAGTCAATAATCAATATCAAAAATAGCTGTAAGGCCACGAAAACATTAAACTATTCTACAGGAACAGCCAATGCACAGTGCATGATACTCTTAGAAAAACGTGGGCAAGGCATGATCTTTCACCTTGGATGGTATTGGTGACTCTTTTCTGTCTCCTGAAACCGAGCTCTCTGCTTCATTACTTGCTTTAACATACATCTTTCCTGAGAAGATAATTACCAATCATAAAATAACCATAGAGGAAATCTTCGCCTTCCGAAAAACAAAGGTTTTCCATTAGATGACAGTTAAATCTAACAATGAACCTCACTTCTGTAAAAGCATATAGAACAATATAAATAAAGCCGCTTTCCCTAACCCGCGACCCAGGATAAACACAATAAGCGTAACAACCAGCATCATAATGATATTTATTCGCGAAAAGAAGCATATGGGTGTCTCTGTTCATTCTGTCGACAAGTTGAAGCAGGAATAAAGCCAATAGAACCAAAATTTCATCTTAAGCAATGAAATTGAAGTAATCATCGAAAGAAAGGAAAGGGAGGAGAAACAGGAAGAGGAAACTCACGTTGATTTGAAGAGAATTGAGGAGTTGAAGAGA